GTTGGATCTTCGGATTAAACTCAGAGAAGTCACTCTGGGGCTCTGGGTACCATTACTGGTCAACACTCTGGCGCCGGAGAAGCCGCCACCCGCTCCTCTTATGCTGGCGATGATTGTGCCAATTACGCACCGGTGCGCGAGAACCGCCCTTCAGCCAACTGTAACCTCCTGGCTCCTCCTGCTGGGAAAAAGGCTCCCCACAAGACTAGACCTCCAAACCCAACACCTTCAGACATAAGGTAGAAGATCTCTTCCCACTTGCTCTCCATGTTTGCTATAAATGCCCCCACCCCCCCAGAAATATATATCAAATAAGCATTTTAACAAGAATGTCTTGAGGATTTTATACAAATTAACTTAGAAATGCTATTTCTAACAATTTCGTATTTAAAGAATGTGCAGTCCCTGGAAAATTACAGGATATAAGCAAATAAAATACGTGGCAAAATTTCCTAATGCCTTATAAATAATATAAATACGTTTCAGTAAAAATGAGGTAACTACTTTGTGGAATATGGCCTATCACACTGGGTTCTGAAATATAACTGCTGTGATGGACAAAAGATCACTGAAAACATCTGAAGAACCATTTCACTTTTCCCTTTTCTTAGTTTGATTCCATTAAGGGATTATGTTAAAACAATAAAAAAATTACATAAGATTTAAAAAGGCCGGGAGTTACTTTCACAGCATTCATTTTTAAACTTTATTTATTTACGGTATTACATGTCCACACACAGCCTTTTATTTTGTGTGAGTCTGAACCTGTTTTACCCCTTGTGTCATGATTCCAAGGTACATGCATGTATTTTTGTCATTTTTCTGGAGGCTACCACTAGCAGATTAGTGGTAATGCTGATCACCGGCAGAGGCCTTTAAGGAGCTGGCTGTGGTTCATTATTTGCTCAAGTGTCAACCTAAGCAGTACCTCAGGCTGCACATATTTTTTGCCACCCTCCCTGGAAACCAACTACCAGCTCACCAATTCATTGCTAAACTGGAACTCAATCTGCCTGTCTGCCCTCCTACAGTACCAGCTTCTGTTTAGTTTTTTATTAAAAGAAAAATTATACAATGGATTAATTTTTCAAACTGAGACTCACTGACTTTGGCTCATTTTCTGTGAAGAACATATATCAGAATACATATTTAATGACCACACACCATACACCCCCCCTACACATTTCTATTACATATAAGATGTCCGTGTCCACTGGACCCAGGGCAAATGGAGGTGTGGAAATTGATGTTTTGTGTACCACACACACAAAAACATGCACACGCACACACACACAGCAGGCCTAGACAGGAGGAGGAGAGAGTGTAGGTACACAGAACATCAGAGGGTCAAATGTGTGAGAAAATGAGAGCAGACAGTGTTGACAAACAATGTCTCAAGCTTGTGTGGGAACCGCAGGTGCATAAACACAAAAGAAACAGTTCCCACAAATTGTTTGTCAACACCAGGCATGGACTGGTAATCGGGTGTACCGGGCATTTGACCGGTGGGCCGACAGACCCGACATGTATATTAATAATATGTATTATTATTATTATTATTATTATTATTATTATTATTATTATTATTATTATTATTATTATTATTATTATTATATATCGGCCTCGTTATAATCGCATAATGCAGGAAGAAAAATAAAATCAGCAGCACAAGAGTCTGTTCCGATCATCCGGCCCTTACCACAGGCTGCTGGGGATGCTTTTCCAGTCTGTGGTGGTCAGTGGGGAGGCAGCACTGTCCAGACTGGACAAGCTGGCCAGACGGGCCGGCTCGGTGGTCGGCGTGAAGCTGGACCCTCTGGACACACAGAACAAGCTGCTGGACATGGTGGAGGAAACCAGCCGTCCTCTGCACAGCGTCACCAGCACCCAGAGGAGCCTGTTCAGGGAGAGGCTGCTGCTCCCCACATGTCAGATAACAGACTGAAGAGCTCCTTTGTCCTGCAGGCCATCAGGATGTTCAAGATCTTGACCTCTATACCTGCTTGTCTCTCTTTTTTTCCTCTATTGTAAAAACTATAATGCTAAACTGTGTGATTGCTAAATATTTATCCTGTGTAATATTTCAGTCTGTTATCACAGTGCAGTAACAATCTGATCTAATTTGATGTCGCTGCTCACTTTCAATTCTATATTTTGTTAGTAGTTTTATCCAACCATCCATTTTCTGCACCGTTTATTCCCAAATGGGGGACTAGAGCCTAAGGAGTTTAATTCTTTTTTGCTATTTTTTCCATATTCTGATGTGTTAAGGTTGGTTCTAGAGAGTATATTATATTTAGTACCGGATTTTGTCAATTAGTTTTTCTCTTTTTTGCCCTCTGTATGCTGCTTCTGTCCTGTTAAGCTGCTGGAAGCTGCAGGAGTGTTTCAGGGAGAGATGCAGACAATGGAATGCTGATGCCACGTTAGTCATCGTCACTTCCAATAACAGACTGATTGGCTTTTTCCCTTTTTTCCACCAGCTCATATCAATGAAAACCTAAAATATGAGTTTATACCGTTCATCATCGGCTTTCACATGAGTTAAAGGGCTTCTTTCAGCCTGGTCCACTGTGAGCTGACGGTGGCCTTCTCAGGACCTGGTGGGTCCAGCAGAGGCTGACCATTCTGTGTGTGGCTGTGCTGCCACCTGGATAATGTTTTTTTTTCTTTCCTTGAATTATTTACTTAGGGTTTGCTGTCTTGTTTCGGATTTAAAAGAAACAGGCTCAACAAATATACTTTGACAAAAAAAAAAGTAAAAGCAGGATAGCATAAAGACATCAGGAAACACTGTATGGAAAATTGATCAAAAGCGGAGGGCAAAAGCTTTGTAACATTTTCAACTAATTAAATGTTACTTTTTTCATATTCAAATATTTCTATTGGGTATTGATTTGTACAAAGAAGTCCCCAAACAGCAACCCCAACATTAACAATGATAAAATGACAATAACACAGGGAAATAAATAAAGTAAAAAGAAAAAGAGATCAAATATTAAAATAATAGATTTGAGAAAAGTAATGGTAAAAAAGAGGGGAAAAGTTTAATGTGTAAAGAATTATACAAGCAGTAGAGTCGACATTGGAAGGAACAGGAAAAAGGGAGGCATTTATATAAACTAATGAACAGAGCGAGTTGTCATGAGCAGGATGAGAACAGGACACAGTAAACTGATGAATACACTTAATATAACAGGATACCATCAGGCTGTGTGACTGTAGCTTAAAGAATGTGGTGTAATGTGTAAATCTAAGGAAGGTAGAAGAATCCTTATGAGATTCCTGATTTCGGCTGGATTGAGTGAAAGATGATAACTGAAGGATATTAGAAGGAAGTAAAGTCCAGCAGATGGCAGCAAATGTGAAGCTTTAAGGATGCCCACAGCCTCTAGAATACAAAAAGGCTGTGAAAAGGTTGTATTATTAGACCCTAAATATTTTAAGTAAATATTGTATTACGAATAATGATGCTTTAATTTACAGAAATGTGCTTTTATTAGTTAGTTTTAATGACATTATTTTATTGAAAAAAGTTGTATAATAGTTTAAATTATAATTATAACAGTATAGATTCATCTTTCAAAAAATGTTTTAAAAAAACAGTTGAAAAACTATTTGGCTTACAATTGCAAGAGTTACTCGTTAATTTCAGATAACATCAAATGTATAGGGCGGCACGGTGGTGTGGTGGTGAGCACTGTCGCCTCCCAGCAAGAGGGTTCTGGGTTCGAATCCCGGGGGAACCAGGACCTTTCTGGGTGGAGTTTGCATGTGTCTGCGTGGGTTCTCTCCGGGTTCGCCGGGGAGGCCCTATATTTGTTAAGCCTTGCTTGCTACCCAACCCTTGAGATTGGGTAGAAAGCATTTCTGTCTCACAGTCAGCCAGACTACTCAGGACACAGAATGGTTGAACTGGTCGAACCCATTCATGTGATCAGAATACATTCTTCTTCCTGGAGTCTCTTTGTGCATTATCAGGCTTTTTCTGGATCTCAGTTGTTCCTCCACTGTGGTTTTCTCTTCTAGTAATCCAGCCCATTGGAGCCTTTTGTTGTGTGTGAATCCGTGCTGAGGGTTTTGGGCTGTTTCACTACCTGTGGGTTTCTTCTTCTTCCTGTGAGTAGTTTCTTGCTCAGAGTTTCCTGTTTGACTGGGTTTGGTTCTTCATTTTGTGCCTCCTCCTTTTCTGGTAATTTCCCTCCTTCTTCCTCTTGTGTTTCATCCTTCTGTGGTGTGAGCACAACAGCAGCTTCCTCTTTGGGTTACAGCAGAGATATGACTCTGTCAGAGATCCCGACCCTGTAAGCTGCAGCTTTTCTAGTTAGTCTCGTGCATCATGACGGGGAGCTTTTCAGGCTTTTTCTGAGTCTTTGTTGGTTTTGTGGTTGTTAGGACCCAGATTTTCCTCCACTGTTTTATCTGTCAGTAATACAGCAAAGTGGAACTTTTAATTGTGTGTTAAATGAGACTTGAGTTGTTGTGAAGCCCCCTGCAGGCAAAGTGCAACATGGTCATGAAAAGTGTGTGTTTGGGGCAGTAGCCTGTTGGCCTGAGAGGATCCAGGGTCCTGCATGGCTGCTTCTCCTTCAGGCTGATGTGCAGGCCCTCAGCTTCCACTTCTTCCAAAGCACAAAGCCTTCAGGTGTCCTCAGCAGCCGTCTCGGGCTCCTCCTGGTCTGAGAGCGGCTGCAGGTCCCAGCCTGGACCACAGAGAGCTGCCAGCCTCTGTGTGTGGATATGAAGCAGCATGTTGGGATCAGACTGCAGCACCTCTCAGGAGACTCAAAGATTAACTGATGACGCTTCATCTTTTCTGCAGCTCTGCAGGCAGCAAACAGCTCTTCTGCTCATGGACTGGAGCTTTTCTATGGACAGGTTGGAGGAGACGTCACCATGGAGTGCAGCTTCTCCACATCTGGATGGGGGGAGGTGAAGTCATTCTGCAGAGAAAACCGTGATGGAGGAAACAATCTCATCCAGACAAACTCCAAAACAGCCGAATGGGGACGATACAGGATCCATTACAGTGAGCAGGTTCTGTCAGTGAGCATCTCAGGTCTGACCCGGTCCGACTCAGGACGCTACCGCTGTGCTGTGGGCAGATCTTCACACACAGATGTGGAGCTGGTTGTAGCTGAGGGTGAGTTTCTGGGTTTCACTGACAGCTGCTGATGTTTTACTCCAGTTTTAGTTCAGTTTTAGTTCAGTTTCAGTTCAGTTTTAGTTCAGTTTTAATTAAGATTTGGTTCAGTTTTAGTTCAGGTTAGGTCAGTTTTCATTCAGTTTTAATTCAGTTCTTTTCTGCTCCAGAAATAACTGCTGGTGCTTTTCTTTAACAGCTCTGCTGGAAAAAAGCCAACTAGAACCCTTCAACATAGAAGCTGGAAGCTCTCTGACAGTCGGATGCACCTTCACCTTTTTCAATCTCTTAGTGGAGGAGCTCAGTGCCATAATGAACCCTGATGTAATCCTGATGAAAAGCTGATGAATTCCCTTAAATCACACCTATCGGTTCCTCTCAAACCTCTGCAGACATGCTGCTGTTGGTGGGTCTGGCTCTGGCCTTTGTGGTGTTCCTGTTCTCAGTGGCTCTGCTGGTGTTCTGCAGGAGGAGATCTGTGACCCCCCCAAAGGGTGAGGAGTCTTTGGATTTTTTTTTTTTGGGGGGGGGGTTCAGCCTTTTTCAGAACTAAAATCAGAGTTTTTTTCAGATCACTGTGAGCAAACAGAGTATGAGAGCATCAACGAGGTGAGTTTGAGAAACATTTTTAACCTTTTTGTTAAAAAACTGGATGCAAACACAAACTACTTCCTCTATTTCTTCATCAGGATGACAGAGGGAACCAACAGAAAACTCCTCCAGTGCAGATCTCCACTATTTACAGCTGCGCCTCCTTCACCAACCTGCAAGGAGCTGATGACTACAGCCTGCTTTCAGCCCACAGCGCTCAGCCAGAAGTAAGAAAACGGAGAAGAACCAGCTCTGATTGGAGTTCCGCCAGTTACTCATCTCAAGCAAAGGCCTGATGCTCCAGCTGTGGGCTGGAAGCAAGATGCTGTTAGGCCTCTGACAATGTTCACATCTGTTCAGTGTGTGTGGAAGTCGTGGGTCTGCATGCACATCTGTCCAGTGTGTGTGTGGAAGTCAGTGGGTCTCCATGCACATCTGTTCAGTGTGTGTGTGGAAGTCAGTGGGTCTGCATGCACATCTGTTCACAGGGTGGGAGTAAGTGGGTCTTCATGCACATCTGTTCACAGTGTCTAAGTCAGTGGGTTATCATGAACATCTGTTCAATGTGTGGAAGTCAGTGGGTCTGCGTGAACATCTGTTCAGTGTGTGTGGAAGTCAGTGGGTCTGCATAGATATCTGTTCAAAGTGTGGAAGTCAGTGGGTGTGCATGCACATCTGTTTAGAGTGTGGAAGTCAGTGAGTCTGCATGCACATCTGTTCAGTGTGTGTGGAAGTCAGTGGGTCTGCATGCACATCTGTCCAGTGTGTGTGGACGTCAGTGGGTCTGCATGCACATCTGTTCAGTGTGTGTGTGGAGGCCAGTGGGTCTGCATGCACATCTGTCCAGTGTGTGTGTAAGTCAGTGGGTCTGCATGCACATCTGAGGGTGAACGCACACCGTCCTGACAGCCACCCAGACATCACAGAGGAGTTTTTCCTAAGCGATCTGAGACTAAGAGCTCTGAGACGCATTTTTCCCCATTTTGTTCCATCAGTAGAGGAAAAGCTGGAATTTAAAAGTGTGATCTAAGATCTGCTCTAAACCGGGCCGATTGTATCGGAGCATTTATAAAAGCTGTGCTCTCCCCTCCGCAGGCTGCAGCCGGCACACCCAAGACCATCTACGCAGCGGTGGATTTGTCCAGCAGGGGCCCTCACCCCACGGTCAGCGCTCCTAGCGGGGATCCAGACGTGGTGTACTCTGTTCCCCGGCTGCGCGGGGGTTCTGCGCCGCGGCGCGCCTCCGATGAGTGTCTGTACTCCAACGTGAGGTAGCCGCTGGCTTCTCACTGCAGCTTCTCCCTCTGTTTTAATGAGCTGTTCATTAAAGGCTGAGTCTTTAACTTATTCTGTGATAGGAAACATTATTTACCCTCTGCAGCCGGTTCCTCTCAACCCTCCGTGTTTAGGGGTCACTTTGGACCCATTTGTACTTCCTGCCTTTCAGCCTATTAAAGTGTATTTTTTTACTCCTTCTGCTTTTTTTCTTTTTTTCAAACAGTGACCGACAGTATGTTGCCAGTGAAACTGAAAGAAGCACAGAGCTCATTTTGGGGCCATGATTTCCCTAAAACAGATGATTTAGTCATTATTGTACATGGTGAGCAAACATGCAGACTAAGGTCTGAGCAGCTGAATGCAAACACACAACAGCCAGCGAAGAACTTCAACTCTGACCTAAATCTACCATTTTCACGTTCAGCAGTTAAGCAGAAGCTTATTTTAATGGGACCTTTAATGCAGAGTGAACGCGCCCTCTAAGAAGCCTAACCCTCCACCGGTACTCTTCCGGTTCCTCGGTGCAGTTGGTCCAGTTTGAGTTTGAGAGGCATCATAAAGGCATGAAAAGAGGCAGCGTGACCTTTGTGGGCTGATGATTGTACAGGGGCATCAAGCTGCCCCTGGCAAATGAACCTGACGCCAACACATCAGACCACCTCAACTCTCTGACCACTGCCAATATACAGGCTCTTTTATGATGTTTCCGAGGAGTTCCACAGTACAGGTGTTCTAAAAGACAGCAGGAGCTTCCTCCTGCTCCTCCACTGCCTTATCAATTGATAACTCTGTTTGTGTGGACATGCAGATCTTTTGTGTCCAACATCTCCACACATATACGGCCCATCCCCGTGTTTCACCCTGAAGGACAACGCCAGTGTCTGTGTAGGGGACTCCAGGAACATGAATACCTGCCGCCTCAGAGACTGGACATGCTTCAGTTTGTGATCTTTACATCCCAAATTGATTGTTTGGAAGCTGCTTGCCAGTTTGCCTAACCTACGTAGCTTGCTTTCCAGCTGGATGTTCGGGATTAACGGCGGAACACCTGATACGGGGATTCGCGTGGATGGCACTGACAGCGGGGAAACCTTCACCAACAAGTCCCGGACAACCACCCCGGACACAGAGCCATCCGGCGGGACTATCCGCACCTCCTGCCTGATAGACGGAGGAGGTATCTCTGAGGACGCCATGCCTCCTTAAACACACCTGTCCTACCTACCAACCTACGGATTACTCACCTAACCCTCAGTGAAAGAAACGGAATTACTCTTTCCTGATTTAGTGCGTTTAGATCAGTCGTAGAAGTGATGGAAACCGAAACACACTAGTGCCACTCTCAGGTCTACCACCGGAAATTAATGGATGTATAGATGGATAGCTGTATAGATAGATAGATAGATAGATAGATAGATAGATAGATAGATAGATA